TATTCAACTACTCTCTTCTGGATGAGTGGACAAGTCTCATCCATATGGACATTGCCAAATGGGCATATGTGTGTGGGGAGGGGAACGGCCTTTTGGGAAAAACAGACAGCTAGACCATTTAATTAGGTTATCCATGCGGCCATTTCGTCAGCTTTCGAAAAAGGTAATTGAATAGGACACTGTATAATTCAAATTATCATTTTATGCAGTTATGCCTTAGGCTCGAGATTTTTTGAACTCCCTTTCTAGATCATAGTATTACAAGGTCTTATGCTTGTTTGGCATTGTCTGAGACCTGTCTATTCCTCCAGAAGAGATTATATGAATACTAAAACATCTGCAAAATGCCTATGGTACCAAATATTTAAACAAGCTGAGCACATGAAAAATAGGAGACACTGAATATAATGGTGAGAAACAACGCTTTGCAGTAAATTGGGACCTAAAATCCAATGCTTAGATTAGACTATGTATACAAGGCAAAGGGAAAAAGTGAACCATGAATGTGAACTACGGGTGGCTAAGGGGTAGGCGTAGAAAGAGGGAGAGCTAACAGGCTGTGCCGCTTAGCAGGGGTAGGTTTGGCTAGCTTAAAATCTTGTTAAGCCTTTCGGCTAAACTAAGTTCGGAAGGCCTGAGCAGAATTGCGGTTGACCACTTGTTTTCGAATTATTGTTTCTCGCTATGCAAACGCATATCATATGAAGATATGAGCTCACAACGAATTTATTATGGTCAGAGAATGGTGAGACAAGCATTTATTTGCCCAATCAAGCAGTCTTCATTCCAAGGCAATCCTCCTTTGGTTTTCAGTAAGGTCAATTCATGATTTCGTTCCAACCAACTTTTTATCTGAAGTAAAAAGTCGAATATAATTAAATTAGTAATAGCTAAATCAAAAACCAGCTTTTATTTATATAATTTAATTCTTCACTAATAAATGTTATTAACAAGGTTGTTTGACCTTATTTTCGCAACTTGTTCATATTAGTAGGAAGACTTAGAAGAATGTACCTAATTCGGAGTCCATTGTATGCATGTTAATTTACAAAGTGAAACTGTGGACGTGGTACATTACCAGACGTTTCGCTGGCATCGTCAGTGAGTCTCGCCATTTTTAGCACCACACAACAACTCGTCAAAGAGACAAGTGAAGCCGAACCTTTGACCAAACGCGTGCTAAACAGTTATGGTATCTCCCCTTCTGCCCTGGGCTATTCACATTTCCCATATCCTCCTATCACACCTTAACTGTTATAATTTTTCCCTTGCTTATTTAAATCTAGTGTGGTGTGACCTTTTGAGCGGCACTCATGAGAACCCTTCGCAGTCCACGATAGCGTTCTCACCCCACTTCACCCATGGGCTAGAAATATGGTCAGAGTCTGCCATATTGCTACGCACTCCTCCGTACCTAGGTCTTATCACAGTCCCCCTCTTGCCCCGTAGAATCCGTCTGCTATCACCCTGGTTCAAGCATATCACTCGACCTCTGCCACTTTATCTGTGCTATTCGAGGCGTTATTTCCCACATTCTGTGTCTGAGTGACTAATTCGAGGGTAAAGCCTCTGAGTAAGTCTCAATGTTACGTCTTTGCTACATGGACCTTCTGGCAGCCAACTATCTCCAGTCTTCCCCGCGTCTATCTTGTTGCTATATGTAATACCAAGTGTATGATTTCAACATTGAACCTAATCAAAGCTAGCAGTACCACAACATTTGTGGGTTGGCACACAAGAGACTAGGGCAGGGAAAGTCATAGTCTTGGTATTTGGAATAGAAACAGGATAGACGGGGCGAAGACAGGAGCTAGTTGGCTGACAGTAGGTCGTACCAGAGACGTGGTCCATGTAGCAAAGTCTTGACCATGAGACTTACTCAGAGGCTTTAGACTTGTATTAGTAACTCAGACGCAGAGTGTGGGAAATAACGCCTCGTGTAGCATAGATAGAGTGGCAGAAGTCGAGTGAAATGCTTGAGCCATGGCGATAGCAGACGGATTCTATTGGGCAAGAAAGAGACTGTGATAAGACCTAGGGAAACAGGACTGCGTAACAATATGGCAGACTCTGATCCATATTCTCAGTACATGGGTAAAGTGGGGTGAGAACCCCAGCGTGTAGTGCGGAAATTTAAATAAGCAAGGGAAAAATTGTAACAGTGAAGGTGTGATAGGAGGATATAGGAAATGTGAAAAGCTTAGGGCAGAAGGGGAGAAACTACAACTATAAGCACACGTTTGGATAAAGGATCGGCTTCATTTGTCTCTTTAACGAGTGGTTGTGTGGTGCTCAGACTGGCGAGACTCACTGACGATGCCGACTACTATGCCGGCGAAACGTCTAGGAATGTACCACGTCCAGGGTCCGACATTGTAAATTATCATGCATACAATGGACTCCGAATTAGGAGCGTTCCTCTAAGTCTTCCTACCAATATGACCAAGTTGCGAAAACAAGTTCAAACAACCTCTATACAACG